GGACCTGAACCTGTTCAGCCTCAGCAAGAGGAGGCTGAGGGGGGACCTGGTGGCTGCCTACAAACTCAACAGGGGAGATCAACAGCAAATAGGCAGAGCCCTTTTCTCCCCAGCACCACCTGGGGTGATGAGAAACAATGGTAATAAGCTGATGGAGAATAGGTTTAGGTTAGAGATCAGGAGGCAATATTTTACAGTTAGGGTGGCCAAAATCTGCAACCAACTTCCCAGCGAAGTGGTCCTCGCCCTTACCTTGGGCAAATTCAAGAGAAGGTTGGACGATCACCTGTCTGGGGTCTTGCGAACCCAGCATTCATTCCTGCCTGTGGTAGGGGGTCAGGCTAGATGATCTGTTCGGGTCCCTCCTGACCCTAGCTACTATGAAACATTCTCAAAGTTGTTGTACAAGGACATTCTTTCAGAACACATGTGGACTAAAATAGCATGACTGTTTCTTGCAAAAGGAATTCATGTTAAACTGAAGAGGTGGACAGAGCTTTTAGCTGCTGTGATCTTGTGGCACAATCTATCTTTGTATGTATTTAATGATAATTCTAGAACAGATTCACTTGCTCTTGGTAGACTGGAAGTTTTCTTACTAATACATTTTTTGAAAGGGAACTAGTATAGATATTCTGTAACTGCCCTTCAGACTCCCATAGGCACTTAGTGTGTGTAACATATTCTATAACCTAGACTGTAAGAAGGCCTTACATTTGAGCATTATCTACATCCTTGTAGCACTACAGAAAGTAAGCGTACAGCTGTTCAGGCTGTTCGTAGCATTCTGAAGAGAGTGAAACTGCAACCTTATGAGATGCAAGGATTTGTGTGGGTGATATCTTTTAGTGGACCAACTGTATAGTTGGGAGAGATATAGACAAGCTTTTTGGTAGCTAGCACCCTTCCTCAGGTCTGACAAAATAGCAGATACAGCTTGAATGTGTTTTTGGTTGTTTTTTTTCTTTCGTTTTGTTGTTGGTTTTCAGCGGGGGGTGTTGTAGCATTGTGTATGGTGCCTATACAGTTGCATATAGCACCACAGGGGTCACCAATATCCCACAGTCTTCGACTCTCCCTTTCCTTCTCCCTAACAACCCCCCGCCTCCCCCCACAAGGGGTGGG